ATAAATTGATAAAGAAAAAGAGAGAACAAAAAGATTTGCATTTCCAGAAGAGAAAAAAATAATAAAATTTGATTAGTCAGCGTAAAAGTATCAAAAGAAATATTAAATGCTTTTTATAGAATTTTGATTCTTCATTGTATGTTTTATATATATATATAAAACATGTTTATAAGTCCAGTCCGTTAGTAAGTCCACAGAATATTAAATATTATTCTTATGCTTATTCTTTGCTTTTATTAATCCTTTTACATAATAGGACAGTTTTTACGTAATCATTACTTCTAATAATAATTACATGAATTGAAATAAATTGAAATCTGCAGACAGATTGAATAAGTGCAAAGAGATTATGGCTGATTAATGCTAAATCATGCGATACAAAAAAAAATTTGTTTCGTTAATTTAAATGCAAATTAGACATGATGTTTTTTATCGAACAACAAAAATGTAATTATTGCCGATGTAATCATATACAAATATTTTATTTTCATTACAAATTTCAAAAATATATAAAAATACATACATATGTTGCACATTGGTAAATTATTTCTATTATTTATTGTAAAGTTTACTATGTAAACTAACTTTACAATAAAACATATTAAGCAACATTAAAAAAATATACTGGCACAATACTGGATGAAAAATTACCAATTGATATTTTTTGATTGATTAAATTGTTCGATTAAATTATGCATTTTATTATTTATATTACAAAATTAAGAAAAATATCACTTACATTTGATATAGTATTGTATAATTTTTTTAATATTGTATATACTGATTATACAAGGTTATCTAAGGTTCATCTTTTATTGCGTCAATACATCTTGCTTTTGCAATAATGTTAACGTTTTCAATATAAAGCACAGTTTTCATGAATAATTTTAAATTATATTTCTAAGAGCAATTAAAATAAAATGAATTGTAATTGTAATTGTGCTATTAAGTAAAACATCTTAATCGTAGAGAAAGATTTAAGAAATGTTAATAGATGTATATTACACACTAATAGATACATATTATACTTTCATTTTACTATTAGTTTTGAATGATTTATGCCAAGAAATGTAAATTAGTTTTCCTATAGCATTTACAATTAATAATAAAATAGTAGATATAATATATAAATATTTATTATACTGCGAATTAATATCTCTTAAATCTTTTTCTACGAACAAAGTGTTTTTTTTTTACCTCATGACAGAACTATAATTACAATTTATTTCTTAACTAGCAAAAAAGTAATTGCTATTATTTAAAGATGTTTTATTTATATTAAATATCAATTATTAGACTTTATTGTACTTTATTGTGTTATTAAGTACTACTTCGATTTAACAATAAAACTATTAAGTACTACTTCGATTAACAAACATTTTTTCTAATAGTCTTTTATCACAAACGAACATCAATAAATAATTAGCATGAAATTAATGTTTTTAATGGTCGCGATTTTGCATTTAATTATAAGACTAGATATTTTAAAATAAAAAAATAATTGAGATCAAACTTTTTAGAAATATATAGTTAAAGTAATTAGAAATTATTATATGCTAAAGAACTTAATATTACTCAGATCTAATAATAAGCAAAGTTCAAAACAATGCAATTAATATATAGTTATCTGTAACCTTGATAAATAAATTTTCACGGAATCTTTAATGTAAATTGCGAATTATAATTTTAGACTATATTTCTTATCGCGCATTTATTTCTCAATTAAATTTTCTTTTCTATAGAGCGTTAGTACGTTACGCTACGAAATAAAAACATATAATTGCATGATATTACTTGCGCGCAATGTTTATCGAGTTCTTATCGAAACTTCTTTTATAATTACATTATACTACATTTCCTGATTTCTGTGTTCAACATGATGTTCAAAATGATCTGAAAGTGTTCTTTCTCCTTTATAACTTACCTCTTAATATTTGTAATAAAAACTTGTTATTCAATAAGCTGCAGAAGGCATAAGCTTCTTACAATGTTGATATCGAAGCATATAAAGAATTAATCTATTCTAGATACAAGAGCAAAAAAAAATAACAAATTGATAACTGTTTTAGAAACTGAACTCCGCGTACGCGTTCCTACGATCCACGTTTCCGTACGACGCGTTCATTACTGGCGAGCACTGTGAATCAACAGACACTATAGGCAGTAAGATACGTCTGTTATCCCCTCCATTTAGGGAGGATTTTCCTCCGACCATCTCTGTTCCTTGCGCCCTGGCGACCGCGCCTTGTTCCCTTTCAGATAGTCCCCCTCGTTGCTACCAACTTAACAAATTGGTCGCTGTGCGGATTAAACGTGACCACGTGGGAAGACTTTGACCTTCTATCGACTTCACGCGTGCTTTAGCGTGCCAATTATATGTTATTTAGCATTCGGGTCATATGGATTATCAATATATGTTATATTTACGTATTTATTTATTTTAATAACACGTGTCTTATATACATGTTATAATTAGATTACAAACTTATTGTTAATGTTAAGGCTTAAGATGTTCTACAGAATAAAAAATTATAATTTTTGTATGAAATTTTTGTTTAAACAATTTGTTAATAAGAGACACATAACGTAATATTTTTCTTTGCAGTCAAAATATTAAATGGTATGAATGAGAAGATCGGCGTGGGCCAACGGTAACAATCAGAATGGGTTAAATTCTTTTGTCGCGACTGAGTTTTTTACGTCTGCTCTGCAAACTCTTCATCTTCATAACTTATCGTGAAGTAGTTATTATTCATAAATATAATATTAATATAATATTAATAAAAATAATATGAGAGAGGTATAACACAGACCAGAGGCCTTAACGTAAAAAGGAGAATATTAAACCTGCTATTAAATTATGTCACACGAATGAATTAAACTTCTTATTAACTTTTAAAATAAAATTTCATTTGATAAACAAGGTCCTTAAAGATGAATTTTTCAGCGATCAAACTTGTTTTGGAATCGTTTTTTAAGTTTGATAGATAATTATTATATTTTTATATATTATTATATAGATAATTTTATAGAGCTTCGGGATTCCAATGGACTCTAATCTCTCTCTTATAGTCGCTGATATGGTTTTGCAAGATTTGAAAAGCAGTTTTTTGATTTTTAATTTTATATATTAATTTAATATTCCATTTCATTATAGATATGTTGATGTTGTTATGGCAGTTTTTTTTTTTAATAAGATTAACTTGGTACTTGAAAATTTTATGTATAATCCTAGATTATAATTTACTTGTGAAATTGGAGGCAACAGAATTAATTTTTTTTGGATCTCACTAAAATGTTGCCTCCTATTTCACAAATAAATTATAATACAAATTTAATGCTACTATTCTCTCATTAAATTTGACTGGTATCAAAAACCAACTTTTTTCGGGAGATTTTAGATCTTTTTTCCCTGTTTCACGGAAAAGAGGAATAATTTTTTACTTTATTGACAAAGCATTGTTGCTTTCACATCCAGAATTCTATCAAAAGAATTTAGAATTTATTATTAATATTTTATTGAACAATGACTATCCCCTGGATTTTCAAGAATTTACTGAATAGAATAAGAATTAGTTAATAATAAATTCCAAAACAGGAGGTACAAATAATAATTCCATTTCTGGATATAATTAATTTAAAAAAGCAATTGATATAGTAAATTAAAGTAATAATTAATTATATCAGGATACTTAAATTTAATCGATACTGTGTAATTCCGTATACAAATTGCAGTGAAAACTGATAACAGACTGAAAACGGTGAGATCTTTCTTTCTTTATATATGAATAATTTGTTATAAATCTGGCAAATCTAAAGAAGCATAACATGGACGTTTTCAAGAAAATAATCGAAATTTTAGATTTCTTTTAAATTAGGTTTACCTATATCGTGTCGAAAAAGAGTCAATGTTTTAACAAAATGCTCACAAAATTAAAATCAAGTGAGAACGGAATTTTATGTCTCTTCGTTAAATATTTGATGTTAAATGTTTGTGTATAAATTATCAATAGCATTGGAATTTAAAAATATTAATCTAAAAATGATGAGGTGGGCGCTTATTAAAGTACAACACAATATAAGTACATATACAGCAAATAAATTTAATTTTTTGAGATTAAATGTTGTATTCCATTGCAAATGTAAAAGACTTAGAAAGATAAAGGTACCTTTCTTATTAATTAAATGTTATATATTACAATAAAATATATGTTCTTTTCACAATTTACAAAGTACAATATGTATATGTATATGTATATGTATAGATATATGTTATATGTTGCAAGAAAATATATTCTTTTTGCAATCGCAAAAGCGCAATTTAAAGATTTTATTTTATTTTATTTTATTTAATACATACATACGTACTACTGAGGGATAATTTATAATAAAAAATTAACAATATTATCACTTAAAAATAAAAAATTAAAATAAACAATCTATACAGGACGATTAAGAGTCAGAGGCTGATGAAGGTGCCAACGATTAAATTCTACACCATTAATCGAGTGTGTGTTATCTTCTTTATTTTGTTAAAATAAATTATCATTTAAATTATACTATTTATGTAATGGTTTTTTTTTTAGTTATGTAACAGTTTTTTATGGCTTTATAGGTTTATGGATTATAGTACACTTGGTTTTTTTTTACTTTTTTTTTTAAATTTTGTTTGCATATACAGCAAATAAATAAATTTATGAAAAAACAAAATAAAAGGTTGAATTATAAATTAAAATGAAACGATAATAAACTACCAAACCAAGCTGGATAATTAATGCTAAAATTTAATAAAAATTCTTAACGCATTTTGCAAACGATTTTAGCAATTACTTTTTTATACTTTTATATAAAATGATTTTTAATATTTATGTAATCTACTTTAATTTTATTCAAAAATTGTTTTACATTAAAGATGATATAATAGAAGTTTTTACTTTTTTTATATAAATTTTAGCTAAAAAAACATGTAACTTGACTCGCAATTATTTTAAAATTGTGAAATTTTTAGGGTATGCGAATCTCAGCTGTTTAACTGCTAGTAATGCATGTTGAATTTCTTTGTACACTTTTGTGACACACTTTATTCGTACCAATTAAGCCAATAATGTTAAATTGAACTTTTCGTTTGTCTGCTGACGGTGTGTTTATTAGCCATATATTTCGTGTTACTTTCATGTCTCAAGGAGAATTCACGTACATAAAAATGGAGGACATCAGGAATAAAATTTCGCAGAACAAAGCGCATGATTTGCATGTGCAAATAGACTAACGTTTTTTACGTTATGAACATGAAGTACTTGACCTAAAGTTGCATCTAATAAATTTGAACATGGTGAAGAATTTATAAGAAGAAAGACCCTATTGGTGAGACAAACTCATTGTTGGCCTTGTCATGTCGTAACCTTACATAAACGTGAATAAATTATCGTCGCATGGTCGAACTGCGTCAGTGCATCGAATGGAAGTAATCCGATTTTGTAGTTTGTACGCACCATTTATCTCTTGACACTTCCTTGTCTATGATTAAAACTCGTGGGATGAAGATAGTTATCCAACATTAAATTACTTGATACAAAGACCTGCTTAACATATGGGAAGACAAATCAGATATTCTTGTATTATCACAATAATCATAAAACTTATACTTAAAGAATTATTATTAATTCTAATCAAGTATAGTTATAACAATTGATTTTTACAACGTTAAGTACTAAATTTTAATTGAATATGAGCAAAAATTGTCCTCGTACATTTGTCGAACAATTAAAAAAATTAATTATATCAAAAGGCTGAAACGTGTAATAATTTTAATTGATTAGAATATAATGAATTTTAATGAAATATATATTAAGAAGGGCTACAAATCAAGTGAAAACACAAAAATGTAAGTGCTGAATAAATATATTAATAAGCACTAAAACAAATTAAAACAAAAATAAATAGAAATGAATATAAAACAAATGGCGTTTCGACTCCGATCGGATCATTATCAATGTTAGACGTGTAAAAACTTTCAATAAATTAATAATATAAACATATTTGAAACAGCAACGGCCTATAACTAAAAATTACAAACTACGAAAATAAAAACTTTTTTAATTGTACTAACTTCAGCTGAATGTATAAAAAGGTAGTAAAATAACATACTATGGTTATCGCAACGATATTAAAAATATTGCAGTTGTATCCAATAGAGATCATCTTTGTAATTGTGCGCAAGATGGTACAAAGAAAACTCGCTATAGACATGTCGCAATACGTTAGTTAATATATTAAGTTCATGTTGATGAAAAATAGCTAATAAAAGAGTTTTCAAAATATTTTCAATGCTAAGTATTAATAACATCAGTCAGAATGTGAAAAAATATAATATATATATTTTATAATATATAAAAATATAATATAAAAATATAATTGTATAAAAATTTGAGATTTAAAAAGCAATCAGTCTTAAAATTAGTTTCAATGTTAAATAAAATGATATTAGTCAAAATATAAAAAAAAAATATTGGTAAAACAAAAGGTTTCAAACTCAAAATACAAACAGTGTATCGATATATATATATAGAGTAATAAGATAAATGTAAAATTTTTTTGTAAGTAATTGATGCTTGTAAGTTGCAAAAATTAGGAAAAACATCATTTATATGAACATTCAAATTTTTATATCGTCGAAACCATTAGTCGTACAAAAAAATGCAAAATTTTTCAAGATTTTAAAAGTTCGATTTTAAAGATCTCAAATTGTTATGGATAGGTATTTTTAATTTATCATTTTCATATAAATAAATCATTTTCCATTTGTTTATAATTTTTATCAACATTTTTCATCATCAACTCACTAATTTAAAAATTTTGTAAAAATATCTACATTTCCATTTCAATTATAAAATAACCTTGAAAATTTTAAAATAAAACTCGAATGAATTGTATATTTAAAAACTTCGAGTTTCATTTTGAAATTTTTAGGGTTACTTTATAATTGAAATGGAAATATGATGATATGTTTACAAAATTTTTTAATTGATAAGTTGATGAAAAATGTCGATGATATAATAATTTGAGTATTAAAATGTGAGCAATGTTTTTTTATGAATTTCTGCAACTTATAAGTCAAACAATTTTTTTCGAAATGGCACACGATACAAAATTATCATTAATGGTATAATTTAATAATACAAAATGAGTACTAAAAATTCCGGTAGGTCCGATTTGATCCTGCTAGAGCTTTAGAATTGTACATAATACATAATCT